AAATTAGCAGATATGTCAGGGCTAATAAATTAGCTACATCTTTGGTAGCTAAATTAGCAGATATGTCAGGGTTAATAAATTAGCTACATCTTTGGTAGTTAAATTAGCAGATATGTCAAGGCTAATAAATTAGCTACATCTTTGGTTGCTAAATTAGCAAATATGTCAGGGTTAATAAATTAGCTACATCTTTGGTAGCTAAATTAGCAGATATGTCAGGGCTAATAAATTAGCTACAACTTTGGTAGTTAAATTAGCAAATATGTCAGGGCTAATGAATTAGCTACATCTTTGGTAGTTAAATTAGCAGATAAGCTGATGCTAATAAATTAGTTACATCTTTGCTAGCTAAATGAGCAGATAAGCTGATGCTAATAAATTAGTTACATCTTTGCTAGCTAAATGAGCAGATAAGCTGATGCTAATAAATTAGTTACATCTTTGGTAGCTAAATTAGCAGATATGCTGACGCTTGTTTGACACTCAAATTTCTCAGTTTTCATGAACAAACAAAAATATTAAAAGGTTATTACGAGAATACCACAATTGCACATGCACATTGTTCAAATAAGGAAGACATTCAAAATACACTTCTGTATTCCATTTTACAGTAGAATAAATAATGTTGTTTTTGCTGCAAGATGTATAATAATTCTTTATAGTGATGATACCTGTTTATTTTGGTGACAATTAACATAAATAAGAAACAAAATTCATAGAATGTTGTTTTGACAGTGTCCTAATCATGACTTAATACTGAATAAGTGGAGATGACTAAACACCCACTACACACACAAACTGACCTTTAGTTTTCTCGTTGATGTATGCATTAACAATGTCATGAAGAAATAGAAGCAGTTCAACATCCATGGCAACACAAATGTGATCAGCAAACTGTGTTACAAAGGTCACATCAACAACTGGCATTGGCTCTGGTGAAAAAAAACGAAAAAAAAACTAATAATCATTCAACTTTTTTTGTTCTTGTTTTCTGCAAGATTAGTTGCTTGTAACACCATACTGTCCTCTCTTGTTGTCATAAAATATTTTAAAAATATTTGAAACAAGCCATGCATGGCACATTCCCCCATTAGTTATCAAATCTAAATTATATAGTTTTGTTTATAGTAATGTATATACCGTAGTACAAGTACTTGTTCATATTGAGAGGTATTGCCCTGGAACAGCATTAATTAAAACAAAATGGCTATCGATCGGCAATTTTGAATAGATCTGTAAATCTAAGACATGATGTATAATGAATATATAAAGTTTGAACATTAGTCAAAGCATGTTAGACATATAGCACTAGAACTGCATTCATTAAAAACAAAATGGCCACCAGTCAGCCATTTTTAATTCCATCTGAAAAACAAAATCATGTACATCACGGACCCATAATGTCTAATGTATGTACCAAGTTTGAATGAAATCCATCTGTAAACAGCTGTGAAATGCTTGATTTTGATGATTTTTCAGAACAAAAATGGCCGCCATTTGGCCAGCTTGAATCAGAACGTAGAACAAATTGATGAAGTTTGAATGTAATCTGTCCAGGCATGTCTAAGTTGTAGGTCCAGTCGCACGCACGGACGCACAGAGATCAATGCATAAGTCCTTGTTTTCGGACGGGGACTAATAATGACTCATCAATTTAAAAGTCACAAAATTGATCAAGCATGTCATGTGACTTTTTAAAAGATCATTCGAGGTCAAAATAAATCTGAAAGAATGAAACACACTTACCATCATCTTTAGGGGGTCTTGGTTTCTGTAGATGACCTGTTCTCATTTCTAACTGTAGTTTCGGCAGAGCAAACAATGTTTCCGAGTCGTGGTTGTATTCAAGACTTTTTCTTCTCCTCATACTGGGTTCCTGACCGTCCTCTCGGTAGAAAAATTCAAGCTCTGAAGTATGAAACATTATTCAGTGTAACAAGGAGGAACGACTGATCCATTACGTTGTTATAGAAAATTGTACACATGTTCTTTTATTGTCTGGTTCACACGACCTTTTCATATAACACTCCATAATGTCTGACAAATGCATACACACTCCCAAGGAGTGAACTCATATTCTATCAGAGCAATTGGAATCATTTGATTGGCGGAGCCTCACAAATGAAATGATTTAATTGGCGGGGGACCCACTAATTAAATGATATAATTGGTGGAGTCTCACAATGAAATGATACAATTGGCAGAGCCTCACCAATGAAATGATTTGATTGGTGGAGCCTCACAAATGGAATGATTTGATTGGTGGAGCCTCAAAAATAAAATGGTTTAATTGGGGAAACTCTCAACAATTGATTTACCGAATACTGAGAAAATCTAAATATAAGTGGGTAAGCCATTCTCTGGAAGAAGTCAAATTTTTTTTAAATCGAAAATTGAGATTATTGTCATGAAATAAACAAATCTAAAAGAGAACCACGAAAAGGTACCTTCATTTTAATAAGAAGCTAAAAAAAGTAAAGTCGACACAGATGGACAATGAGTAATATGAACAGTGGGGGTTATAATAAAACTCAAAAGGCCACACTGATATCCTCAGGTTAAATCTAATGACCTAGACGCAAGATATAAATCACTATTGCCTGTGATTTGTTTTCCTCTGTGATCCACTGAAGTTTATCTGATTCTGATTTAATCTGGGAAGTTGTATGGACTTTTACTAAGAAAGATGAACTGGTGAAATCAGTATGATTTTTCTTTATCGTTGTAATTTCATAATCTGGCCATAGAGGGCGCTAATCCCAAGTCCTTGTAAACGATTGAATACGGGAATTTCAATTTTTGTATTCCTCCAATTAGGTCGTATCATTCCATCCATTGCACAACTAACTGATAATCTTGTATTGCCCACTGACTGAAACAGCCCCTCTAATAGACACACATATAAATCGAAAATTACATTTGTTGTACATGTATATTGGATCATATAAATATTTCTCACCTTCTGGTCCTTCTGTTGTGCAAGCATAATGAAACCATTCCTGTACACTGCTGACAGAGGCTGGTGGGTTGGCATGACGACCTCGTGATATACGACTGATGGTTGCCATAAAGTTGTACTGTGACTGGTACTCAGCCCTGGTTGTCTGGTTGTGACCTAGGTTAAATATCAGATCCTGGATCACATTGGTCTCCAAAGATTCTAGAAAAAAGAACATGTGGAAAGAGATTTCAGTGAAATGATTCTGGGCATGGATGGAATGCAGGAACTGATATTAATAATTAAATTCCTTAGCCTTGTTTGACTGTTGTTGTAGTATTATCCTAGATCTCAGCATGGTATTTATATGGAAATATATCTTCATTATTATTTGACACAATGCAAAATGATATTTAAATATTTCCCATGATACATTGCAGTTACAAGGGATGTCACATGGTCAATTGTAACCAATCATGGAATAGGTGGGGAATAACTTTAAATTATTTCCTCTTTTATTGGGGCAGAGAAAGATACATGATGATAAATTTTAACACAAAATCTCAAAAACTGTACAAACCTCCATCGACTGAAGGAATGTCCTGAGCTTCTGTTTCAAACAACATCTCTGGTTCCCTCATCGTGAACAAAGCCCAGGATTTGCCACGGAAGTTGACGCCATGGAAACAAGCTAATGATGCATGGTTGCCACGGAGACTGCAATGCCCACCAAGGATGGCACTGTTCTCTGGGTAGCTTGGAGAGAGTTTAACTAATCGGATTTTAGTTATCAGTGAAGCAACACCAGGCCAGTGTCGATGATGTTTCTTCTCTGAGTAGAAATAAAAAACGATTATGTAGAACATGATATAATAATGATGATAATGTTATCAACAATCAGTTGCACAACTGCGAGATTATTAGATAAGGGTTAATGTTAATGCTGACAGCCACGCAAATTACGAGAAATACAGTGTTATGACAAACTCTCTCAACATAACATATGTTGACACAGATGATGTATTAAGTTACGCTGAATATAGTTAACGACTCAATATATTTTGAATTTATTGCAATGGACATGACATTCATAAATACCAACTTTCATAGTTAAATGTTGTAATTTTCAGGTTGTTTTTAGCAATGTAATAAAGCAACAGCTAGTGTTGTCAATGAAATGCAAATTATTAGTTAAAACTACCAATGTATATATAAAGTGGATTCCTAGAAATACTGTTGCAAATAAGTTTCTTGTAGGATTGTTATGGATTGTTGAGCATCCATGGTATCCCATGATGCTATTTGTCAGAGCAAACTTGACTGACACCAACATGTAACTCGAACAAATACATAAATTCTATACATCACAAGTAACCTGTAGAATACTGTGTGGGTAATATTTTTTATATTGATTGTTGTTGCATTTGCAGCAAATAGTTATCAAACAATGAGAAATCTATAGGATTGAATATACCCCACAGCTGGCTTCACATGCATTGTTTATAGTTCATATGGTGCTTACACCAGGATTTAATTACAGCACCTAGGCGGTATGTGGTTACAGCTTAATGTTCGAGTAATCGCAAGAAATTGACATGACAATAGAAATTCATTAAAGACTGCCACTCCCATGCAATTAACAGCGAGTGAAATTCCTGGGATTGAAACATATATTTTGAAGTCACTGATGTAGGCAACGAATAACTGCAAGTTGACATAAAGACGAGGTAGTTTATATAATCAGTGGTAAACTAGAGGCTGAAATTATAATTAATTTGTTTATTTCAATTTCTCCTGACGTCAAATAGAATACACTGGTGAAACACGGTAGTAACTGT